GGACATTTATATTGCTTCACCCGGATTCATACCTTGTTCACATTTGCCACATTTGCTTTGATTCTGTATCTATCCATCCATCATTTTTAATTTTCTGAGCTATTTGAAGCAAGTTGTAGACATAAGACACATTATTCCTAAGCCCATGAACACATTTTCTAAGAACAAGGGCATTCTCCTATGAAACCTCAATTCCCTTATCACACCCAAGAGATGTAACATCTACACAATCATATTATCTAGTTTCCTTTGTTATCCCAGTGATGACCCTTGTGGTGTTTCCCCCATGAATACTCCAGTCAAGGCTTACACATTGGCTCTGGTTGCCATATATCTTTAGTCTCCGTTGGTTTAGATGATCCCTTATTTTATTTTGTACTTTTAAAAATAGTTTAGGATTTTTAAAAAGATTTTATTTATTTGCTTATTTATTTATATATATGTATTTTAAAGATTTTATTTGTTTATTTGACAGAGAGATCACAAGTAGGCAGAGAGGCAGGCAGAGAGAGAGGGGGAAGCAGGCTCCCTCCTTAGCAGAGAGCTCGATGTGGGGCTTGATCCCAGGACCCTGAGGTTATGACCTGAGCTGAAGGCAGAGGCTTTAACCCACTGAGCCACCCAGGCACCCCTATTTATTTATATTTTAAGATTTATTTTTAAGTCGTCTCTATCGCCAATGCGGGGCTCGAACTCACAATCCCAAAATCAAGAGTTGCTCCATCAACTGAGCCAGCCAGGTGCCTCTAGATGATGGCATTTTTTAACAGTCCAGGTCAGTTTAGTTTTTATTTTTATTAGTTATTATTATTATATTTTAATAGGCACTCATTTTATTTATTTATAGATTTATTTGTTTATTTTAGAGCAGGTGCACACATGAACAGGGGGAGGGGCAGAGGGAGAGGAATACAAGCAGACTCCCTGCTGAGTGGGGAGCCTGTCACAGGGCTTGATCCTTGGACCCTGAGAGCATGACTTGAGCTGAAATCAAGAGTTGGAGGCTTAACTGACTGAGCCCCCAAGCACTCCCAGGCCAGTTTAGTTTTTAGAATGCTCCACAACTTGCATTTGTCTGCTTATTTCTCATGATTGGATTCAAGTTAAACATTTTGGGGCAGGAATACTAGGTAGGCGATATTGTGTCCTTATTGGTGCATCATACTGGGAGGCCGTAGTGTCTGTCTGTCCTGTTATTGGTGACATTAAGTTTGATCACTCAGTTAAGGTTGTTTCTGCCAGCCTTCTTCATGCTAAAAGTGCCAGTTCCCCTTTGTAAGTAGCACGTCATCTTTGGGCTGGTACTTGGAGACTGTGACTGTCCTCCCCACAGTCTCTGGTCCAGTGGTTTTGGCAGCCGTCGTTCAAATCAGCAATTATAGTGATTGTGGCACTGGGAGATCTTCTAATTCTGCCACTCCTATGTTTATGGCTAGCTTCTTCTACAAAGAAGAGCTCTTCCCTCTCTTTTTTAAAAATGAGAGTGTCCCTTTGGACTCATGGATTATTTTTTTTCACAAAGTGGTGGTACTTATTTTTGACTTCTATATTTTAATTTTTTTAAAGATTTTTATTTATTTATTTGACAGAGAGAGGCACAGCAAGAGAAGGAACACAAGCAGGGGAGTGACAGAGGAGAAGCAGGTCTCCTGCTGAGCAGGGAGCCCAATGTGGGGCTCGATCCCAGGACCCTGGGATCATAACCTGAGGCGAAGGCAGAGGCTTAATACTGAGCCACCCAGGGGTCCGTGACTTTTACATCTAAAATAGCACTTATTATTCATCTTATTAAGAAAGTTGTGTATATTCGTTGTAGAGAATTTGGAAAATACATAGGGGAATAAAGGAAAAGATTAAAATCATCTGTGATCCCCACCATCAGATGAAAATTCCTGAGAGCATTTTGGTGTATCATGGATTATTGTTTAACATTCAGGAAGTCATATGTCACTGTCATTCTTATTTTTGAGACTCTTGATTGTCTCAGATTTGGTTGGTGGTAGCTCTTTTAAACTTGTGTCTTTTTTTTTTTAATCTTTTTATTTATGTATTTATTTGACATAGATCACAAATAGAGCAGCAGGCAGGTGGTGGTGGTGGGCGGGGGGAAGCAGGCTCCCCGCTGAGCAGAGAGCCCGATGCGGGCCTTGATCCCAGGACCCTGAGATCATGACCTGAGCCGAAGGCAAAGGCTTAACCCACTGAGCCACCCAGGCACCCCTAAACTTGTGTCCTTTTGACCTGCATCCATTTGTTGTATACCTGCTTGTCTCTGGTACCTCACGATATTCTAGGCTATCGTGGTATTTCCTTGTCCTGGCTTGAGACCAGCCATATGTTTTTTAAGCCGTGAGTTCATACTGATTCCTCATTTCAAATCCAACAACACAGGCCTCTTACTGTCCCACCTTGCATATTCTCTCTCCATATTTTAACAGTGAGAACCCAGGTCCTACAACAACCCGTACACTTGTATGTCCTCTCCTCTGGGACACATGACAGAGCTTCAGCATCACCACACTATATAAACCTTCTTATACTGAAGCTTTCTTTCCAGTTATTTTTATCCTGGAGATATATCCTTTTAAGAGAACAGAGTGCTCTGACCAAGTTACTTGGCCAGTTCTTTTTTCTATGTGGTCGTGTTATCAATTTCCTGTACAGTTAGCGTCATTTGCTTTTGTTTATTTCAATTTTAGGGTTTGCTTTTCTTTCTGGTGTAAGTTCTTGAATGTGTAAGAGATTATATATACAAAAAGTATGTGTAAATCTTTACCCAAGGAAATCTCACTAGTCATCCTAGCCCTTCCATCCTGTAGGTGACCATTTTTATAGTGCGTGGCTTACTTTTCCTGTGTTTCTTTTGCAAAAATAAGCAAATTTGTATGTGTGTTCTTATCCCCCCCTTTTACATAAAAAGTAGCATACTTTTCTTGTACTTGTCTGTGCTTTGCTTTTTTTTTCATTTAATCATTCCACAACAATTACTAGAGATCCTCTTCATTCTTTTTTTAAATTAAATTTTTTTCAGTGTTCCAAAATTCATTTTTTTTAAAGATTTTATTTATTTATTTGACAGACAGAAATCACAAGTAGGTAGAGAGGCAGGTAGAGAGACAGGGAAGCAGGCCCCCTGCTGAGCAGAGAGCCAATGTGGGGCTGGATCCCAGGACCCTGAGACCATGACCTGAGTCGAAGGCAGAGGCTTAACCCACTGAGCCACCCAGGTGCCCCCAAACTTCATTTTTTATGCACCACACCTGGTGCTCCATGCAATACATGCCCTCCATAATATAGTACTCCATTGAATGATATACCGTAGTTTATTCAAACAATTGCATTTAGGTCACTTCCAACATTTTCCTATTGCAAAATAGTGTCATTTTGAATGACATGTATTTATTGTTTCTTATTTGTGGGTAAAAAAGCAGAAGTAGGATTGTTGGGTCAAAAGGAAAAAATTTTTATTCTCCTCTCCCCTCCTTTTTTTTTTTTTTTTATTATGAAAGTTAGCATATTGATTCGACTGTTCTGTGTCTTTTGTTTCCCATTGTCTAGACTATTCTATATCTATGTCGGTTTTTTTTCAATGACTAGTAATTGTGGAGATCTTTTCATAGCAGTATTTTCTTTTAAAGAGCTGCAGAGCATTTAAAAAAAACGGCAGAACAGCCCATTGTATGAGTGTACTGTTTATTTCCTTATCCCCTATTGCTGTGTAGATTCTTTACAGTCTTTTGGTGTTACAAACAATGCTACAATTAATGCAGCTGTGCGAGGGGATCATTTCACGCAGGTTTCTACCCTGCCTGTCTTTTTCCCTTTTGTGGTAGATGTTGTTGGTTTTTTCTTTTTTTCTAAGATTTTATTTAGAAAGCAAGCATGAGAGGGGGAAGGTCAGAGGGAGATGCAGACCCCCCACCCCCCGCTGAGAAGGGAGCTTGATGCGGACTCGATCCCCAGACTCCAGAATCATAACCAGAGCTGAAGGCAGTCGTTCAACCGACTGAGCCACCCAGGTGCCCCAGTGTTGTTGGTTTTTATTTTAAATCTGTATTTGATTTCAAATCACAAAGGGGCCATAAAAGATTACAACTGCCCGTTTCTTTAGTTGGATCCAGGGAAATTTGACTGGAGCTCTAGGAGTGTTTTGTTTTGTTTTAATGCAAACTTTAAAAAAACAAAGATTTTATTTATTTATTTTGTGGTGTAAGGGAGAGAAAGAGAGAGAGCCCGCGAGCCACCCAGGTGCCCTTAAAGCAAACTTTTAATTGAAGTATAACACACAACAAAGTGCACAAATTGTAATCTCATGCTGGATGAATTTGCACCAAATTGACACTGTGTAACCTTCTCCCAGACCCAGGAACAGACCAGTCCCAGTACCTCAGCTTATGCTCCCTTCCTCAAGGTTAACACTATCTTGACTTCAATTTTTTTTTTGCCCCCTCCCCACAAGCCTTGACTTTTAATGCCTTGCTCTGTGTTATGCATATTTTTTTGTTAGCCACCCTTCCCTTTTAGAGGCTGCATCACACAGGTTATTGACTATCTCCTGCAGAGGGCAGAAACCCCATCTGTCTTAATCTCGCTGCCTCCCCTGCCATCCCTAACAAACGACTGAAGGCAAAGGCTGGAGAGAGGGGAGGCCAGCCTGTGACTCTTGCCAGGTGTGTCATGTTCAGGGTCAAGGAATAAAATTCTCTCTTACAGAGGTCTCTAGTCTCCTCAGGCCTTCTCTGTCACTTGCCTCTGCCTCATGGGGTCCCTTCCCAGGTTCCTTTCCTACCCTTGGATAGGGTTTTCTGAAGATAAACCCAATGCCTTGAGGCAAAGGGCAGGAGTGCCTGGAAGGAGGTAGCTGGTGGTGCTGCCCCTGCTGGGCTCCTGTGGGATGTGGGAGCCCGTTCTGCCCCAGGGAGCTTCCAGCCCTGCAGGGGCTGAGACGGGGTCTGGGTGATGTAGGACCTCATCCTGCTCTGGTTTTGCTTTCCTTCCAGGTCAAGACAAAGAGGCGTGGGCAGGCCGCTGGGCCTGCTGGTGCCATCCTTGCCATCATGGCAGGTAAGGACAGGGTCATGTAGACAGGACATGCAAATGAGCAGAGGGTGGGTGGTCCCCTTCCTAGTCTCCTTATCCCCTTTAGTTTTTGGAGGTCACGTTCTTTCTGTCCTCCCATCCCTGGGCTTTCCCTGGCTCCCCTCTGAGGCGTGTCTGTCTGACACCATCAGCCTGACACTGTCTAGCTCTCTGACCGTGGGAACCCGAGACTGAGAACCCTGAGGCTCTAGTCCTGCCGGCCATCTGACTGATAAGCAGCAGAGGTGGCTCAGTCCCTGTCCCCTCTGTCATCACTGCTCTTTAATACTCTGAGACCCTTTCCTTCAGATTTCTGAATTGTTGGCTTCCAAAGGCTCAGGTACAGAATGCGGGAGCTGGAGGGACCTTTAGAGACAATCTGGCTCAAGCCCCACCCACCCCCCTGGATAAAACGAGAACATGGATATTGGAATGGACACGGGAACCCCTTCTCCAGGCTCACCCATCCTGCTTCATCTGCCTGGATCTGGACAGCATTTATTGTTTTCTTTCTGAGAGACAGCAACACTGGCTCAGGGCCTTTGATTACTTTGGGAACCTCCTAGCAGAGGAAGTGGGGATGGCTGGGAGGGGTTAGCAGTGTAGCCTGGGACCTCAGGGGCCAGGGGTGGGGGACCGCTGAAACTAGGGCAGGAGGCTCATATTGGGTTATCGGGGAGGGGACCATTCAAGGTGATGCTGTGCCATATGCTTCACCCACAGAAAAAGTGAACAACTTCCCACCATTGCCCAAATTCATCCCCCTGAAGCCATGTTTCTACCAAGACTTTGAGGCAGACATTCCTCCCCAGCATCTCAGCATGACCAAGCGCCTCTACTACCTCTGGATGTGTGAGTGCTGTGGGATGGGGGTGGGCCGTGGAGGGCGGGGGGAGGAGGGAAGGAGGCTGGAGGGTGCTGGGCACCAGGTGGGGTGGGGTGCTGCAGGCCCGGCTGTCCATCAGCCCCACTTGCAGTATCTGCATGGGCCATCTCCCAGCAGCCTCTTCACGTGGGCCAACCCCCATATGGACCCCAGTTTCCCTCATTCCCCCCACCCTCCACTTCCCATTCACAGAGCATCTGGATGAGGGTCTCTGTCCACAGGATCATTTCTCTTTTCCTTTTCTCCCTTCCCTTTCCCACTGGGGTAGTTTTCCAGGGAGCCAGTGGTGGCTGCCAGGACCTCGGGTTCTGGATGCAGAGAGGAATCCTTGTCTTGAAGCCACATTTGTCTTGCTTTCTTTGGAAAACTGCTCAGAGAAAATAGCATTAACTGGGAGTCGGGAGATACGGGATTCAACTGGGCTGGTTGTCCTACTCCCCAAGCAACAGGTTCCTCACTTATAGAAAGAGGGTGTTGGCTCAGTGATCACTATGGTTCCAAGGAGTTCTGCGTTGTGTGGTCTGTACTTTTCTAAGAATGTAGAGTTCTAATGTTCTACAGTGTTGAGGTCCAAAGTGTCAAAGTCCTCGTTGCTGATGGTTGGTGGCAGGTTGGTGGGAAAGTGTCATCTTAGAGGGATGGCACTTGGCTGTGCCCAGGCTAGTCAAAGGTACCTTTAGGCGTGTACAAGGAAGGCAGGCTGACTTTCCCATGCTAGGTACTGGCCTCAGGGAAGCTTAAACCTGCAGTGTGACCACAGTCAAGGTCTGTCACATGTGATGTTGCCTTGAGTCAGCCCACACTTAGCTGCCAACCTGAGGAAGTGATTGCTTGTGCCCAGAAGAGGTAAAGAATGCTATCTTTGCAGGTTCTTCATGGGGTGGTAGAAGGAGTGCGGAGATAGACTCTGTTTCAAGTCCTGGCTTGGCCTTTAGTGGAGAAGGCTTCTTCTCTGTGTAACGTGAGGGAAGGAAGAGATGGGGGCAGGTGGAGGTAGGTCTGTAGATGTTGGGAAGAGAATGAAGAGGTCACCTCTGATGGCTTCTATTTTTTCCCATCAAATGTGATGTAGAAGTGGGGATGGGAACTTTGAGGAAAGTGGGATTAGAATGAGAGCACCTTTGTGGACAGAAGGTGAGGAAGCTATCCAAAGACACATGACCCCTAAGATTTCTGGGCCATGCGCAGGGTTCATTTGAGGTTGGCTGATGTGAATTTATAGTCCCACCAGGCTTCTCTGTAGGCTCCTTTCCTAGCAACGTTAAGCTCTGGTACAGATGGGAGTTGTGTTCATCCGGGGGGAGGGTGACCAAAAGACAAGGCAGGGGAGAGCATTAGGAAACATGTAATGAACTATGGAATCTAAGTGGGACAGGGAGAGAAATAGAGATGAAAAAAGCTGAGTGGCCACGTTAATGGATGTCTGTTCCAAACAGGGGGTACAATAATTACAATAGAGGAACTAGAACCTCTAGCTAGAACCTCCCTGCCTCTAGCTAGAGAGAGAGGGATGGGACTGGGAAGAGAGGTGTTAACCAATATAGAGACAGGTTAATGTCTGTTCTATGTAAAGAGCAAATAAAATCACTTCTGGGAGTTCCGGAGTTCCGGGAAATTGGGGTGCAATGAACAGAGATGGAGGAAATGCAGCTGAAGTGCAGAAGAAGAAATGCTCACCCTTGTGAGGGACCCTGAGGCGGGTGTACCTACACAGGTGACAGCATTGTCCCGCCAGACTTGGGGAGCACCCCACTTGGCCCTGGGATCTGGGAACTCTGCGCCTGAGAAGATCTCATCCAGGAGCTGGATTTAAGGGCTATAAATATCTTCCTAAGTCCTCACTAGGCACCTGCCCGATTCTTTGCTCCCAGGGAAATGCAAATGATCCTTGAGATGCTTAAGGGCTCTATTCAGAAGCCACTACCGGTTGCCTGGTTGTTGGAGGCCAAGATGGAGGGCCCCCCCAGCCTTTGTTTATTCAGCAGGTCTTTGTGGAGCCTTAAAGGGACTCAGCCTAATGTTTGAGGAAGGGAGTATCCTGCTGTCAGAAGCCCTGGGTGTGTGGTAGTGCCAGCACGAGTCTTTGAGGTTTCTGCTGACTGTGACTTGGTGATCCTGTGATTCTGAGTTCAACTAGAGAATATGGGCACAGAGGGGTAGGAGCCTGCGTTCTGCCCCTGGGGAGCTTCTGGTGTGGTTGATGGGCTGGAATTTGTATTTGGGGAACTGTGCGTGAGAGCAGCCCAGGTCTGCAAGAGGTCAGAGGGATGGGACATGAATAAGACTGCAGTAATGAAGGAAGGTTCTGTGGAGGAGGTGGCATGGTCTGAGAGATGAATTAGATAAAGACTAAGATCCCCAGCCACTGCTGCCTGCCCCGTGTAAGAGCAGGGCAAATGGTACAAACGGCTTGAAGAGAGGTTTCTGCAAGGACTTTTACTTTCCACTTTTTGTGCCCCTTGCAAGAGGAGATGTTGAGGTTTCCTGTGCCTTGGTCTTGGTGACTACTGTGAGTCTGGGAGGGCCAGGGGCTGAGGCCATTCTTATAAGGAGAAGAACATTTCTACCACCTGGAGCCTTTGGGGCCCTTCAGTGGGGCTTGTTGGACTGAGGTTCTGGGTTCCTGCTGTGGAGACTCTGTTCTTTGGATTTCTCAGCTCCCTAGGAATGGGTTTGGGGAGGGGAATTGGTCTAAGCTCCCAGCTTTCTTTCTTACAGTCTACTCTTTCTGTGTGTGTATGTATGTACGTCTCATGTATCTGTGTGTATGTGTGTGTATTCACTGATGTGGGTTGTGGGTACGAATCTCTGTAAATGTGGTTTTCATGTACGTTTGTGTGTATCTCCCTCTCTGTGCATTATGCTGTTTCCATGTGTTTGATTGTGGGTCTGTTGAATTATGGGTGTGTGTGTGTCCATGTCTGGGTGCTCACGTGTCTCTGCATGTGCCGGGGTGTCTGTGTGCATGCATGTGCTCCTGGGTCTGCAGTGAACAGCGTCACGCTGGCCGTGAACCTGGTGGGCTGTCTCGCGTGGCTGATCGGAGGCGGGGGAGCCACCAACTTTGGCCTCGCCTTTCTCTGGCTCATCCTCTTCACACCCTGCTCCTACGTCTGCTGGTTTCGGCCCATTTACAAGGCCTTCAAGTAAGTGGTTGGTACTGACCTCAGCTCCTAACCTTGTCTCTTTGCCCATCTCCCCTATTTCTTCTTCTCTGTATATTTTCTCACTTTCGTTTGACAGCCCCCCCGAAACTCACTTTCACTTGTTAACCCTCAGCTCAGACTGCCCAGTAGGATGTGGGCTTCCTGAGAATTCAGTGCTGGGGATGAGGGAGCTGGGAGTCAGAGCCTTGGTTTCCTCTTTTCTCATTCCTCACTTCCTTGGGTGGGCATCACATAGAAGTTAGGCCCCTCTTAGCTTTGCCTTCCCCAGGCAGCTGTATGTCAGATTTGCCAATGGGGCCACCTGTGTTGGTGGAGCTGCTTATCTTGGCATCTGTGGGGCTAGCTGATTTGGTACCAAGTGGATATCTGTCCATGTGCTAACGGAATTAGTCATCCCTGTACTACGGACACTATGTGCTAATGATGTCATCCAACTCTGTGCTAAAGGGACCATTCATCCATGTACAAGTGGGGCTAACTGTCTTGGTGCCAATGGGTGTCTACCTTTATAAAAGGGATTTTCAATCTTGGTGCCAATGGGACTGTTCATCCAGGTACCAACAAGGCTATCTGTTTTGGTGCCAATGGAGAATCCATCTCAGTGCTAACGGGGCCTCAATATCTTTGCCAATCCATCTGTATGCCAATTAGGCTACTGTTTGGAGCTGGTTGGGTTCCATTCTTATATCAGTGGGGCTTTCTGTCTCTGAGCTTATCCATCCATGTACCGGTGGATCTAGATATATTGGTGCCAGTAAGGCTGTCTATCACCTTGACAATGGGGTCATTTATTCTTGCCCTAATTGACCCATCTACTTTTATGCCAGTGGGGCCAACTATCCCTGTACTGTCCATATGAGTGGTCCATTTTTAAGGAGATCTCTCCCTATGTAATGTTGCTCACACAAGACTAACACATGGAAACTTGCAAAGATTCATGTAAACACTGTTCCATGTTTGCCTCTCAAGGCCTTTAAGTGTCTTCTGTCCATTGCGTACTCATTTAAACTTGGAAGTTCTGGGGGCTCTTGAAGACAGGGGAAGGCTTCGCCCTCTGCCCAGGTAATGAGAGTCCTCTTCTCTGCTGCAGGACTGACAGCTCCTTCAGCTTCATGGCGTTCTTCTTCACCTTCATGGCCCAGCTGGTCATCAGCATCATCCAAGCCGTCGGCATCCCAGGCTGGGGCGTCTGGTAAGACATTGGGATGGGTGGGATGGCCCCAGGGCTGGCATGGGTGGCACCTTGCGTGTGTCCTTTGTTTATGCCTGTGTGTTAGCTGCTTGGCCTGCGAGAGGATTCAGTGTAGTGTAGTAGACGCAGGCACAGCAGCAGAGGAGTGGTTTTTGGGAGTTCCCAGGGATGGTAGGCATCATGGAAGAACCCAAGGGAAGGAAGCCTTATGTCTGAGGAGTTTGTCTCCTGAGCCATGGGAAAAGATTCTTTTGAAACACTGCCACAGGCCCTGTGCCTGGTCTTTTTGCATCCGATGATATGGCCCCTCCCTGTGACAATGAGATGGCTCCTGGCTGTGATGGTGGGGCTCCCGGTTACCCCTCAACATGCCGGCAGCCCCACAGCTGGCCTCTTCCTGCAGTGGCTGGATCGCTACCATCTCCTTCTTCGGAACAAATGTTGGCTCAGCAGTGGTGATGCTCATTCCCACCATCATGTTCACGGTTGTGGCTGTGTTTTCCTTCATTGCCCTCAGCATGGTACGTGGTCACCTCAAGGCTGAGAGGGTGGCTTTGGAAAGGGGCTGTGATCTGGGACAAACCCTCCTCCAAATTACAGGAGGACCTGGAGGTCTTCCAAGGGACTCACTCTAGAATGGCTTGGCGGACTTTGCTCCTAGTACACAGGGCGGGTATGGGAGGGAGGATTGGCTCTTACAGGGACTTGTCTCTGGCTTCCAGGTTTTTCCTGGATGGGCTGCCCCTTCCCTTCGATTAATCCTTCCTTGTGCTCCTCCTCCTACAGGTTCATAAATTCTACCGGGGCAGTGGGGGGAGTTTCAGCAAAGCTCAGGAGGAGTGGACCACGGGGGCATGGAAGAACCCACACGTGCAGCAGGCGGCCCAGAATGCAGCCATGGGGGCGGCCCAGGGTGCCATGAATCAGCCGCAGACTCAGTATTCCGCCACCCCCAACTACACGTACTCCAATGAGATGTGAGCCAGCCGAGCCAACCAGGAGGGCAGGGCTGGGGGTCCATGGGACGGGGACTCAAGCCACATTGTCGGTTGTGGTGACCAAGCAGGGTTCCCCCCTCCCTTTTCTCCTCCCCAACTTTGTACAAAGAATCAGAGTTATATATATATATATATATATATATGTATATATATATATATATATATGTATGTATGTATGTGTCTCCCCCCTTCCCCTGCTCCTTTGGATTCTGTTCTCAGTACTCTGAGAGCTGTGGGCTGCACGTGGAGCTGTCCCGTGCGGTGGTAGCTATGTCCGTGTCCCCTTGTGAAGTAGTATGCAGTGGAGGTCTCTGTTGTTGTGGTGCTAGATGTATGTTTAGAACTAAACCAGCCCCCACCCTCCACCAGGCTGCCCCCTCTGACCTTGCCCTAGAGACCCCTTATGGACCAGGGGGAGGAATAGCAGAAAGCCTGGCCCCCTCCCCAGGGTTATGAGCTAAAACTGTCTCCACTTTCGGTCTCACTGGGAAGCAACAGTATTTAGCACTTATGGGGGTGGGTAGGTAGTAGGGTGGGGACAGGCCAGGGATCTTCCTTTGCTCCTTCGGATCTGGTCTCCTCCCCTTCCTTTCCCTCCTCCTGGTGTCAGATTCCCTGTGGCTTCTTTTTCTTGCCCAGGGCCTCTCCCATTCCCATGTGGCTTTTCTTTGTCTTTCCCAAGGCCAGGTGTCCCAGTGGTATATGCTCCTGAGACAGCCCATTCCCAGATCAAGGAAGAAGACAGGAGTGAGCCTTAGGCGTGATGTGGGAGGGTACACGGCTGGAGATGCACAGCCCACCTGGGTACCTCACTCCCAGGGAGTGGAAATGCTGGGTCATCTCAGAGCTTGGCCTGCAAGGGGGGGGCTCCTCTCTTCTCTGCCCTGCTTCCCCTCCTCTTCCCAGAGCCCCCTTGAGACCCTCTGCCTATGTCCCTTCCCGTGCCCCCGGCTGCTAGCCTACCCCCATCCCATGCTAGGTGGCATCTGTCATCTGTGAGGGCCAATTCCATTGCCTTCTCTGAAGAGCTGGGTGGTATCCAAATAATTTTCAGGTATAAAGGTACAGCTGGAGCAGAGGGTATGTAAATAATTATTGGTCCCTGAGTGAGTTCTGACTGGCCCAAGGCCACTGGGCAGGTACGAGGTATCTCTGAATGACCATTGGATTCCTGGGAGCAGATAGCTGTTCTGCTTGGGTCTGGTAGAGGGGCGGGCTCAGAGGGCTGGGCCTGGAGGGAAGATGGGAGGAGAAGGCAGCCAGGACCCAGGGAGAGGAGAGCCTGCCTCCTCCCACCCCAGCTTGCTTTTGGTCACAGAGCAGTTCTGGGCGCTTGAACTCAGGGCCCAGGAAGAAGCTCATGCTCAGTCCTATCCCTGAGCACAGTGGCTGGAATGGGGTTTCAGATTAGGCGGGGTGGGAGGGGATGCCTTCTGACATTTTTTTTTTCCCCCAAATCAAGATCACCTACCCCCTTCTGCCTATTAGACTTGGTCTTTGGACCTTTCTCACCCCGTCAGAACCCGCTTTCCCTTGCAGGGTGTAGTGATTTAAGGCTACCTGGGGCTACTTGGGGCTGTTCTGTTCCAAGCATTGTGAAAATGTTGCTGGTAGAGGTCCTAGCTCTTTCTGAGGCCTAGAGGGAGTGGACTTTTTTACCCAAAGAGCAGCTGCCTGTTTTCTATCCTCCCTTCTCCTGTCTGGAGGAGATTTCAGGCTATTTGGCCTGAAAATTTTGGCCAGCCCAGCTTGGTCACTCTGGGTTGGCTCCAGCTGGGAACCCAACACCTGTGCTTCCAGGTGCCATCCTGAGCTTTGAGCTCCAGGCACTTCATTTTTCCTATAAGGGGAGCCAAGTCTTCTGAAAAGTTCTCTTCCTAATGGTCCCTGATGCTTGGGCCAGAGTATGATTGACTCTCTGCTCTACCATTTTCTCTCCAGAAAGCAGTTGTCCCAGCCTCTATACCTAAAAAGAGACTCTAGGTCTAGGTTTTCTTCCCTTTTCCTTTCCCCTACCCTAGACCTCTGGCTCCCTTTCTCTTAGTGTATCTGGTAGCTCCAGGAGGCCTGTGTGGTAGTGCTCATTCCTGTTGGATGCTACCTGCAGTCAATTTCCTGTCCTCCTTGCCTCTCTTCTTTCCTGGCCCAGACCTATATGGCCATGCCCTGGCTCTGCTCTTGGGAAGGCCCGCTACCTGTGTGTGACCCAGCTTGTCCAGGCCCTGGGATGCTGCATCTCTAGGCAACTATGCACTTTCCTGGGGAGGGAACCAGTATGAGAATTGGGGGCTGGGCATGAATTCATCTCCGCTGGATGGTCTGTCTTGGGGATGTGATGGAGGAAGGCCCAGGTCACTTCTGGAAATCCTCAGGTCTGGCCAGCCAGTGACCTGCTTTTGCATTTTGCTGGTGCCTACTGCTCCTCCTTGTTTCTGGGAGACACAGACCATTGTCCACCTGGCAGTTGACCTGCCTGAGCTGTCTGTCTGTGGTAATTGAGTGAACCATAATAAAGGGGAACATTTGGCCCTGTGTGTCCTGCTGCGTCATGTGTCTTCATGTGGGCCTGTGTGGAGCCTCACTGTGGGCTGTGGGGCATGGAGGTAGGGTGGGTCAGATGGGTCTGTGGCCTGTCATTCCCGGGGGGCCAAAAGTCACACACTTCTGTGTGATTCTGAGGCAGCCTTGAGTAGGCCTTGAAATCATCACAAAGGCCTCCTGCCTGTTGGAAGGAGTTCTGAATTGCCTGAGGAGGAGGTAGAAGGCTGGATTCATAGGGGAGAGGTGGTTTGGTCCGGTTTGGTCCAGATGCAGACAAGGGCAAGGGTAGAACACAGAGGGCACCCCCCCCCCAGCTCTCACTGATGGAGAATGGCAGCGGATTGAGCAGCCTCAGCACACAGAGCTTGTGGGGGTCTTGATGCTGGATAATGAAGAAGGCAGTGAGGTGTACCCAGTATGCTTTCTCCTGCCGCTTTTCCTTTGCCAACGCTGTGCCCTCCATTTGGAGACACTTCAGCTAAGCTTATGGCCATACTTCAAGATTCACCTTGATTGACTCCTCTGAGAGGGCTTCCCTGCCTCTAGTTTTTTGGTCCTTCTGATTGTTCATGGAGGATCTTATTCTGTAATTTCCTGTCCCCCTGCTTGTCTGAACAGCAGGGACACTGATTTAGCTCCGTATTCTGTGCATTTAAAACAGGAGAGGTTCCGCAAATGTTCAGTATAAAGTGCCCCAATGATGAGCAGTGTGTCTGTGTGGGATGAGGGTGTGGGGTGAGGAGGTCAGGCAGTTAGTCCAGACCCCGAAGAGGGCACAAGCACTGCTAAGAACAGCAACCGGATGTTCGCGGCAGGATTCTCTTGACTGGACTAAAACGACCAGAGACAGAGAAATAGACTACAGCTCCCAGAAGGCTGCGCGACACGTAGGCAGTCGGGCGCCCTCACGAAACTACGTGGTAGGCGGAAACAGTGGGAAGGGCGGCTGAGATATCGCGATGTTTGCGGCCGCCCGAGACGCGTCAGGCGTGGGTGAGGAACCTAAGGGCATTCGGAGGCTGTCCTTTCCGCCCGGCTGTGGGGAGACGCTGGGAACTTCGCTGACTGTCGGTCCGCGACTGTTTGTGCGTGACCTTCCTTTGGCCCGCGCGCGCGCGTGTATGTGTGTGAAGGCTGTGGGTCCGCGGGGGTGTCTGACCTCAGTTTCCTATCTCTGCCCGTGAAGCTCAGCTCGCCACTGTGGGTTGGCGGCTGTGTCTGTGTGGGTAGTGTCGAGCCTTTGGGACTGTACTTACCTGCCTGCCGGCGCATTTGGGACCTCTTCCTGGCTCGAGTTTGGAGTGGGGGATTTGTACCTGTGTTCCCACCCCTGCTTTGTGCTGCACTGCGACTGTTCAGTGCCGTTTAAACTAGTTTAAAAGGTGGCCCCATCAGTTCCCCTTATTTTTAAAATTGGTAAAATAGAAAAAGGAAAGCCTTGGTATGTTGGAATTATATCCCCTAGATCCGCCTAAAAGTGCTGATGGTTTTTAAAATTAGAATGAGGCTAAATTTTGCCAAAGAAAAACTTCCTACTGTCCTTTAAAGGCCTGTACTGGATGATAAGCAGGAGAGATTGCTATAGTTGGGGAACTGGTGAATGTCTTGGGAGCAGGGTTTTTTCCCCACATCTCTGGCAGTGGCTGTAACTAGCTTGCTAGTAGGCTATGTGTGTGACTGTGATACTTAGTTAATATACGATATATAGCAATATAACAATATATTACTATATAATGTGTTATACAACGTATATTAATGTGATACAGAAATATATAATATATATAATAAAAATATATCATATACCCTATAGTATATGTATATATCCTCAACATGTGGACTTGAGGAGTGCCTAAATGGGATTACAGAAGCTGCAGAGTCAAACATGCCTGCCTCTAGTGACAGAGAAGAGCAGTTTTAGCAGAATTCCAACGGCTTGAGCTCTCCTGAGTTCGTTGCCTTACCTTGGGGACACGGATTTAAAGTGCCCTATGGCCTTTTAATATCTTTGGATTGGGGAGCAGGGTGACATTTTGGGGAACTAGAAGTTGCTCATTATTAGGGGGGCAGAGTAGAGTGCATTGACTGTTGGGAGATAGGGCCAGAGCAAAAGCCTAGGGCCGGGAGTGAGGGGCTTTGACATTAAGTTGAAGATTATAATCTCTTAATGGATCCTGGATCCCTGTTCCCCCAGTCTTCCATGTTTAGTTCTGCTTTGTTCTAGGCCCCAGCCTCTCACTGTTCTTGTGTTGGGCAGTGTTCTGTCTGGCTGTTTTTTAGCCCTAGTTATGTGAGGCTCCACATATTCCCCTATTGTGACTGGCAGGTATTCTTGAAACCTTTACTTAACTCTGCCTGCCCTAATTAAAGTCAGCAGAGGAGACTTACACATCACAAGCTTGCCACAAGCAAGCTCTGGCTCTGCCTTTTTTTTTTTTTTTTTTTTTTTTTGAGTAAGAGAGCAAGACAGTGCATGAGCAGCAGGGGGAGGGGCAGAGAGAGAATCTTAAGGAGACTATACGCTCTGTGTGTAGCCTGATGCAGGGCTCGACGTGGGGCTCGATCTTATGACCCTGGGATCGTGACCTGAGCTGAAACCAAGAGTCCCACACTTAACCTTCTGAGCCACCCAGGTACCACTGTCTGGTCCTGTCTTTCTAAGGGATAGAGAACCTGCCATTTTTCTGGTTGTGGCTTACCAACATGACTGATGTCCTAGGAGCTTGAGGCTCAGTAATCAGAGCCTTCAGCCCTTATAACCTCTCTGTGATAACTCTTTCTGCTCAAGATTTCTTAGGAGTCTAGCAAAGCCCAGAAAAAATCAGGCACTGTCTACAGCTACCTTGGCTGTGCAAGTAGGTGGTTCTAACAGGAACTGGCTAGAGTAACAGACTTACTAGTTTGGGATTTGATCTTTTTTGAGAATGAACATAAAGACTGCTAGCTATCACACTTCATGAGACTGTTAGGTTGAACCAATTTGACCTTGCTTTCAAATGTTGGTTAAATTATCCACTTTCTGTTACTCAAGTACTTCTTCCCTACTCCCAACACCCAACCCACACACACTTTTCTCTGAAGGTAGGTAGGCTTTGGTCCTTATTGGTCCTTAGCAAGTCTTGCTCAGCAGGCTAAGTGGTAAATCTTGGGCTATACCACCCAGTGTGTGGGGAAGTAATTGAAATCCCCAACATGGCTTCATGCCAGAATTTTTTTTTTTTAAGATTTATTTATTAGAGAGAGTATAAACAGGGAGGAGCAGAGGGAGAGGAAGAGAGAGAATCCTCAAGCAGACACCCTGCTGAGTGTGGAGCCCCTACTCAGGGCTCAATCCTAGGACCCTGAGGTCATGCCCTGAGCTGAAATCAAGAATTGGCCGCTGAACAAACTGAGCCACCCAGGCGCCCTGTTCCCTCGATTTAACTGATGGCTTTCAGTAACCTGTTTCTTAGGAATGATACCAGCTTGGTGTAGAGGAGGTTTGTGGGCTGCAGAGATGAAGTTCAGCCTCTGGTTTGGCAGGAGTCTCCCTGTCCTGGCACCAGTGAGCTGGGTTGGAAGGGGTTGGGGTTTGAGCTTTAGCAGGTAGGTTTCCCCAGAGAGTCAAGAATGCCTCCATGGCCTACTGAGGGTGCTCATCAGTATGCTGATCTGGGAAGGCGCTGGCTGATAGGCCCTCTAGACTTTGCCATGTGCTGAAACAGGCTCCCCAAGCTCTGGAGTAGACTTGTTTCTGGTTTGGGCAAGCAAGGCCCTGGCTGAGGCCCTGATTTAGAGCAGATACTGAAACAGAGCTAGCAAATGGAACTTCGGGGGAGTCTTGCTCTAGGGAACTGATCTGTGCTTAACTCCTGCTGATTAATCCCTGGGTCTGGGCCTCTGGGAGATCTCTGTGGGCAGGGGCTCATGTAGGTGTGTGCCTGAGGCTTGAAGGCAGATACTGGGCAAAGAGGCCCTCAGGAACCAAGGAGCCCCTGGAGTGAAGAGGAAGCCCCTGTGGGTGTGCAGCCTCGGAGGTAGCCATTGGGTGATTGAGATAACTTCCTCCTTGATGTTTGCCTTGGTTTCCCCTCCTACTGCTGATTCTGCCCATTTTGAGTCATCTCGCAGGACTCTTGTACAGAGAGCCCTTACATACATTGACTTTCATACATTGACTCAGAAGTTTCTACTGAAGGAGCTTCAGAGATCACCTGGTCTTACCTCTGTATTTTTCAGATGAAGAGACAGGTCCAGGGAGGGAAGTACCGTGGGCCAAGGTCACACACCAGATCAGGAGCACAACGATGGATGGGGTCCAGGGCTCCTGATGTACCAGCTGGGCTTCTGTGCCAGTGTCCTGTGCCCCACGCCCACCCTGCTTCAGAAGGTACAGTTCATTATTTCTCCAGCAGTGGTTCAGGACCTACCAGGTGCCTGGCTGTTGATGATTAGACCTGGTCACATATTCAGGGAGCTTGTTGGTGGCAGTGTTGGTGGTGGGGAAGTGGAGAGGGAGAGGCAAGGAAACACGGAAAAAATGGAATCACTAATTATTACCAGGCAGGTGCATCCCAGAGAAAAGCCTATCTCAAATGATTTCGGGTGTGACTCCTGTCTTCTCAACTCATCTACAGATTCCCCAAAGGCAGTGGTGTGTCTTGAACAATTCCTTTGCCCAGCGCTAGATGTCACTGGCCCTCAGTGATTGTTGCTGATGGAGGGGGCACGTTTTGCTGGCCCAGATTGCAGAGTGTAGGTTTTGGTGTGTCCATCAGCTGTATTATCTGGGGCACTCACTCCTAGCAACATCTGAGGGCCAGAGGGAAAAAAAACCAAGCAGCTGGTCCCACGGGAGTGGCCAACATCCCCTTCATGCTTGTTTCGTCCTGGCTTAGGTTTGTAGAGGGGTGTCCAGTTTGATCTCCAGGGACAGGGAAAAAGAGGCAAATGTCTCCACTCCCCGCATCATCTGAGTCTTCTGTTGCTTCGGGTTTCCCACCTCTCAGACTCCTGAACCCATGTCATTGTGCTACTCCCTTCAGTCAGTCCAGCATCCTCCTGTCTCCACCTTAGGGCCCCCTCCACACTTGGCACCAGCACTACCTTTCTAAAATGAAAACTCACCTTGGCCCTCACCACCCTTCACACTGCCCTTGACCTGATTGCAACCTTACCTCCTGCCACCCCCTACCTCCCATCAAACTTTAGCCTCACTCCTAAGCCGTTCCTTGTTCCCCAAACTTGCCACCTTCCTTAGACCTCTTCACCTTTGTGAGATTTTTCCTTCTTGCATGGTTCTTTCCTTCTTTCTCTGGGAAACGTACCGGTCCTTCAGGACCCAAGCTGTCCTTGTTCGGATCTCTGACTTCCTCAGATGGTTAATCCTGGGCAGCCACAGCCCCCAGTAAAGACCTTCCTCACAACACTGGGCCGAATTACACGGTACCTGACCTCATCAAATCGTGTGCTCCCAGCCACTGGGGCTGCTCACCCCTCAGTAACCCCAGCATCTGGCCCAGGGTCCTCAAGACAGTTTGGTTGAACGTATGAGTGAAGTGGGTGCCCCTTACTCTGCTTTTAGATTTTAAGTCCTGACAGAGCCTTGTGGAGGCCCGTCCTGGCAGGCTCCTGGGATTCGAAGCCGTTAGACCCCACATGGAATCCAGTGCCTCGTGTCCAGCTGCTGCACCCTTGGTGAAGAAGCAGTTCCATGTTCTCGTGGGTGTCACTGGGAGCGTTGCAGCCCTGAAATTGCCTCTTCTGGTGTCTAGGCTTTTGGACATTCCTGGCGTGAGTATGCTTCTTAGCCAGTATGGCAGTCTGATGGTGGAGAGCTTCTGCTCCTGGGGCCAGGCCATTTTTATGCAGTGCACGGGTTTTTTTTTGTTAATGATGGTGTTTTTGGAAGCCCTCCATGTGCATTAATGTGTAGTAGGGGAGGCAGCAGGAGACAGTCCAGTATAACTGGGAGCTAGATGAGAGGGTGTGGACAGTGTGAGGGGAGACTTGGAAAGGAACACTGTGCTGAATGGAGGGTTTGGGTTCCCATATGCTGACCCTGGTTCCCTGAGATGCTGGTGTGGGAAGAGGCTGGCTGGAGACATGGAGCACATTTGCAGTGTCCCCTTGCTGTCTAGGGTGCCTCACCCCCACTTCATCTTGAACACTGTGGCTCTGTTCTCCCTCCTTGTTAGATACCATGGCTGTCCTGTCTGCCTAGATGCACTGGAATGTCGGGGGTACCCTGTTGCCTGCAGCTCTGGTTTCAGACTGCTTCAGGTGTTCAGAGATGCTAGGGGCACCACAGTGTATTGGGGGTGAGGGAAACCTCCATTTTGATCAGTTTTATATATATATATATATATATATTTTTTTTTTTTAAAGATTTTATTTATTTGACAGAGAGAGATCATGAGTAGGCAGAGAGGCAGGCAGAGAGAGAGGGGGAGGAAGCAGGTTCCCCGCTGAGCAGAGAGCCCGATGCAGGTCTTGATCCAGGACACTGGGATCCTGACCTGAGCTGAAGGCAGAGGCCCAACCCACTGAGCCACCCAGGTGCCCCTATGTATATTTTTATATATTGAGGTCCTGGGGCAGATTTTTCTTCGGGAAAAGTTCAAGGCTTTTTTTTTTTTTTTTTAAAGATTTTATTTATTTATTTGACAGACAGAGATCACATGTAGGCAGAGAGGCAGGCAGAGAGGCAGGCAGAGAGAGAGGAAGGGAAGCAGGCTCCCCGCTGAGCAGAGAGCCCGATGCGGGGCTCGATCCCAGGACCCTGAGACCGTGACCCTGAGACCGTGACCTGATCCGAAGGCAGAGGCTTTAACCCACTGAGCCACCCAGGCGCCCCAAAAGTTTAAGGCTTTAAACAATGTGAAAGCCAGCAGGTACTGACCTCATTTCCTTGTCTGGTCTCCAAGGTTTGTTGAACTCCCACTGCCTACACTCCACTCTAATGGCCCTTGCTTTGGCATGGCCCCTGCCAGGCTGTGCTGTTGTCCTATTCCTCTGCCTCTCTAAATTCTGCACAAACACTTTACAGGAAAACCTTCCTGGCTTGCTTCGGCCCATGTGGCATTGTTCCCTTCGTTTTAAAACTCATTTGATGAGGGGCACCTGCCTGTCTCAGTAGAGCATGCGACTCTTAAGCTCCAGGTTGTGAGTTCGAGCCCCACATTGCACATAGAATTTACTTAAATAAATAAAATACTTAAAAAAAAAACCCAACTCATTTGATTTTTTTTTTTTAAAGATTTTATGTATTTGTGTGAGAGAGAGCTCAGAGGGAGAGTGAGAAGGAGAAGCAGACTCCCTGCTGAGTAGAGAGGCCGAATTAGGGCTCCATCCCAGAGCTCCCAGGATGCTGAGATCATGACCTGAGCCAACGGCAGAGGCTTAACCCACCGAGCCACCCAGTCACCCTCATTTGATGTATTAAAGAAAAACCTGAGATGGGCTGTAAGGTGGTAAAAACAGGGTTTATTCAGAAAAACTATCACAATAAGGGAAAGAGACCTCAGCAGAGAACTGGGCTTGATTCCAAATACAACAGGGAAAAGTGGGGGTTTATAGGCAAGGAGCAGGTGGAGGGCAGTGGATGGAAAGTTACTAAGAGGAAGTATCAGGAGTAAGGAGGGTTCTGGCTAACTGTCCTGACAGGATTCTTGGTGCAGGCAGGCCAAGGTGACCCGTCATCACGTGGGGGTTGTTGAGGGTTGAGGAGCCCCATGAGATACCCAGGCTGATCAGATAGCGAGAGTGGGGGATTCTGGCCAAACCTGCTTAACAGGAATCTTGCTCTTAAGGATCAGGCCCCAGGATGAGCCTAATCAAAAAAATGGTGCAGAGGAGCCTGAGTAGAGTTTGGTCTAGGAGAGAATCTTGAACAGGGTGTGGGGAATCTTAGGTTGGCTTTGACATTGCTCGTGCTGTTGCACATTACTTTTGTGGAGTGCACTGCTGGGCCCAGACTGCGCTTTTCCTTGTTATCTGTGCCGCCTCATGTGGTTGCCCGGTGCTTGTACCAGTGTGTCCAGCAGGGGGCAGTGCTCCCTTGCTGATGACCATGTCAGGGCTGAAGGCAGGGGTGAGCAATCTTTTTTTCCCCTCCTCTTACTTTCCCCAAACTTATAGTGAGAAAGACACCCTTTCACCTTACCCCTCATACTGCCACAAGCAATGAAGCGGGCAGCCAGGGATGCCACCAGGCCAGAAGGTGGGAAGGAGGTGAGTCTCGTGCTGCTGGGCAGCACCCTCTGTGGCCTGGTCCCTCTCCCCCGCAGGCCCAGAACTGTTGGTAGGAGCTGGCTCCCTAGACCCGTGAGAGCGGGAGGCCTGGAGGCCTGGGAGGGCTTGTTGCAGCAGTGACAGCCTCTGCCCCCTTGGGAGGGAGGGAGCCATGCAGTTCCCTTTTCCCATAGCCCCAGAGCAAGTGAATTTCCGGACTGGGGGCGGGTGGGGGCAGGGCGTCCTATCCCAGGAAACAGATGGGCAGCCTCAGAGCTGGGGGAAATGGCAGCTCCCCCATTTCCTGCATCCCATGCAGGCAGCATTTACAGGGGGGTGAAGAGGCTCTCCAGCCCACCTCAGGCTCTGGCCTTCTGAGGGGGACAGGCCTTGTCTGGAATAGGAACTTGGCTCTCCCTCTCTGGCTAGAGTCAAGCTGAAAGTCAGGCAGCCAGAAGGGCACTGACCTAGGAGGGAGGACTTGGAGCCTGCTTTTCTAATTTAAAATAAAGGTGATTACTGCCACCCATCTCCTCAGGCTCTAGTCCAGGCTTGGGGAGGGGACACAAAGTTTGTCATTCTGTGCCAGTAGCTAGGCACAGCTCCTGGCACACAAAAACACTTGCCAGTGTTTGTTTCCTGTCCTTCACCCTCTCCTTTCCCCTTATGTCCTTTGGGCCAGCCACATGGGGAGGGGAAGGGGTTGTTGGGGTTGGCGAGACAGCCCATGTTAGGAGAGCTGTGGGAGCCACAGTCCATCTGCTCCTGTGGAGGAGCCCGCTGCCCTCTCACTTCTTGGCCGGCTCATCCCTCAGGTAGAATGGTTCTCCAAGGAGCCTGGGTTTGCTTGGTAGAGTCTTGTGAGGTGTTGGCAACCAGAGGGGGGTCCTTGCTTGGCCCGATGTCATGGCCTCCCCACACTCCCTGATGGTACTGATTTCCCCATTGCCTTCTCTTTCTGGGTCACCCGCAGGAGCAGTCTTTGTCCCTTGGAACGGTCCTTCTCAGCTGTTTGCCTCCATCATGGAATTACACGCTCAGGGCTTTTCTGAGCTCCCGAGGCATTTCTAGATTTGGACCCGCAGATGTGCAGCTGAAGGCTGGGCCCCGGGGAGCTGGGTGATGCCACAGATCTGGACCATAACTGCAGGTGTACCTCATCTTACCATGCTCTGCAGATACTGAGGTTTCTTACACATCCAAGATTTGTGCCAGCCCTGCATCAAACAAGTCTCTTGGTGCCATTTTTCCAACAGCATTTGCTCACTTTGTGTCATTTTTTGGTCATTCTCCTAATATTTCAAACTATTTGATTATTTGTTATGGCGATCTGTGATCAGCGATTACAACTTGCTGAAGGTTCAGATGATGGTTATCCTTTTTTTTTTTTTTAGCAATAAACTATTTTTATTTTTACTTATTTTTGTTTATTTTAGAGAGGTGGGGGAGAGGCAGAGGTAGAGAGAATCTCAGGACCTGGGGGCTGGATCTCACGACCCTGAGATCTGAGATCGCGACCCAGAGTGGGATGTTCAATGGACTGCACCACTGAGGCGCCCTACAGTAAACCACTTTTAATTATTTTTTTTTTAAGATTTTTTTTTTTTTTTTATTAGAGAGAGAGAGGGGGAGAGAGCAAGCACAGGCAGACAGAGTGGCAGGCAGAGGCAGAGGGAGAAGCAGGCTCCCTGCCGAGCAAGGAGCCCGATGTGGGCCTCGATCCCAGGATGCTGGGATCATGACCTGAGCCAAAGGCAGCCGCTTAACCAACTGAGCCACCCAGGCGTCCCAACCACTTTTAATTATTAAGGTATGGTCAGAAGGGGGGGAGGGAGAGTGAGGAGTTCTCCAGCCTGAGAAGGCACTTTGAGACTGAAAAGTGAGCCGCTCCATACCGTTACAGGGATTTACTCAGGGGAGCTTGCTGAGGAGCGGGAGGGCAGGCGGGCTGGCTGGATGACTGGTTGGTGGTGCAGGCGCCGGGCGGCTCTTCTCTGCCAAGTCGGGACCTCAGTCTGCAGCTTTTATGGAGTGATGGGCATGGGGAGGTCAACGAGTCCTTCTCTAGTGTGGCGCCGTCTGTGCATCCCTTCAGGGAAGGTCAGAACAAACGTTCCTGCATTCTGGTGAGGCAGACTTTACCCACCACAGGGCCTGAAACACGCTGTCTGGAGGGAGGGCACTGCTCGGGCACGAACACGGTGGAGAGTCCGCTATGGGGTTGGTGTTGTCGGCACCCCTCCAGGTACGCGTGCTGCTTTCTTCAGACAGAATGCTCTTGCGCATGTGAGACACTACAGTATGGTGCAGTATGACTTTTTTTTTTATTTTTTTATTTTTTTATTTTTTATTATTTTTTATTTTTTTTAAAGATTTTTTATTTATTTATTTGACAGGGAGAGATCACAAGCAGGCAGAGAGGCAGGCAGAGAGAGAGGAGGAAGCAGGTTCTCTGCTGAGCAGAGAGCCTGATGCGGGGCTCGATCCCAGGACCCTGAGATCATGACCTGAGCCGAAGGCAGTGGCTGAACCCGCTGAGCCACCCAGGCGCCCCTGACTTT